AAACTGGAATGTCAATTTTACGTCAATTTTATATCACCGTTTACATATCCCAGTGGTGACATTTCTGCAAACATGTTGACATTTTCTTGACAATGGTTTGCGTAAAAATGATATAAAATGGACAAAAAGTTTACATTCATTTTACGTAAAATTAACATACACATGCTGTTTGGGCACTAGCATTCACCTTCTCGGAAGAGGACTTTGCGAAAGTTGAAACACAAATGTATGCTAGTGTTGATGAATATTTTCGACTGTTCTTATAGCATTCGTCCCTGTGCATATCCGTTCTAGTCCACGTTTTTTATTAGAAATATTTTATACCGTTGAATATGGTTTCCTGGAAACGTCCTTGGACAAGTGAACATGTTCATATGGATGTAAGCTCAAGCCGATTGCATCTTACCGATCTTCTAGTTTCATTTCCTCCTCACTGTCGCCTCTCGTGGCGTCGGTTGTATAAATGGAAACATGAAGTAATGTAAAAACCTTTTTTTCAGGGTTCCCCATTCCTTCAACTCCCCCGCCCCTCCTCTCTTCACAGGACTCACCATAACATTCGGTCTAGGCTTAACCCACTAACTTCATTCAGGTCTGGCCTAAGCCCACTTTATTTTGTTCAAAAGTATCCCAACTCTCGATTAATGGAGCCACGTAGGCCTATAAGGGTCTTATCTCAGGGTTTTCGAGATATCTCAGTGAGGACATTAGGACGTTTAACCCTTTCCTGCATGAATTTTTAAAGCAAAACAAAAATGTGCCGTTTATGGTTTAACGTTTAAGGAGGTACTCTGCCGTAGGAGTCGAATGTTCTACTGCTAGAAAGCAACACTGAACAGATTATGTGCCTTTGAGTTGACTGCAAGCACCAAAAGTTTCGAGGTATGAGTACCATGACTGAAAACTCATAATTATCGCCAAAAATTTGCCGTCCACTACAGTGGACACCATGCACGAAAGGGATAGGCCGATTGCTGGCCTATTTTGCATTGCACCTACCGTTTCAGTGATGACGTGCAACAACATGCCCATCTGGAGTTTCTCGACCCACCACGATTAGATCACCACTGCCTCCAAAATTCTAATGCGTGTCGAACGCCATCTTGTTGATCCAGGGATGTCCGTGCACGATGTGTCCGTTTCCCATGTCGATCGACCGACGCGAAACCATGTTGTTTCGTTCTTGCCTCATTCCACGAACTCCGCCCAAAGTGTGTCGCGCATTAAAAACGGAAAACCCTAGCACCGACACCGAAGCAGAAGCAGTCATGAATCCGGCAAAACTCCAGCACGATATCCGGCAACCGTGGGGACGAGACTGAAGGCAAGATAAGCTTAAATAAACACTTTTTTTTCCACTGCAAAATGGCACAATGCCAACAACGGAAATGGCACCTACCTTGCTTTAAAAGCCCTTATCTTTGTTTTGGTGAGGTAATCTCTTCCCAAAACACCTCAGAATCGTTACCGGGAGGGGGGGGGGAGAGGAGAATTAAAAAAAATTACTGGAATGATTTTCCAATCTTCATAAAAGGTGATTCTGCGTTCTTTCCAACCCTGGGGAAATTAAGCTTAATATATGTGGAACAAATCTTTGTTAAGATGGTTAGAAACATGCCCATTTTCGTTTCTCTAGATCCTCTTGAAAAGGAATTAGAGTATGTGGAATTTCGGGACGGGGAAAGAGTCGTCCTAGCGAATGAAAATTTATAGGCTTTCACATGGCGCCATTGACGTGGTGATCAAACTACAGCAGACAGAAGCATTTATGGTCGCGGACGCGGAGACGGAACGCGACAGAGCAAGGACAGAAAAATCCAAATCAAGTGTGCCTAGGCTTACCCTGAGGTATTACTTGAAAATATGATCAAGGACGCACGCTATGCCCTCCACACATCCTTCGCTCGAATCGGCGACAATGGGGCAGTCTCTGGATGTCAGGGCGTCCTTTTGTCGTCAGGTGGTTTCGGAATTGGGTCCTTCGCCTTACCCAGGCGTCGAATGGGTGCATATAAAAAAAAAACACGTTCCTCTCCTCGCTGGAATCTAGGCACTCTGCTCTCAGCTTTTCATAAAGGGATGAGATGTACATAGATAAGCGAGGGAAGAAAGGAGGATCGAAACTTTGCAACTAATCAGTTTTGGGCGATGACGAAGTATAAGTAACGCGTTACAGGATGTAATTATCATTTCAAGATGATTTCAATGATAACGAGTTACTTTGTTGCGATCAGTAGCGGAAACAGAAACTAAATATTTTTCTAAGGAAAATGTCAGTGGTGTTACTGTAACGCGTTACTTTATTGATAACAGACTCAACTTCAGATGAAAGTGACGAGTGCTGCACATTCGTCCTCACCGGTTGATGCCGCATTGGGAACAAGGACAAGTTCACCCATAACTGAGAATTTCCTCTGTCAACTTGGGGACTTGTCACGTGGGAGTGCATCGCAGCTCAGGGCGAGCGTGTTGCACCCTCGCATGAAAAGGCGTGGCTCTATTTGTTGCGGGTTGAGGACACGAGTCGTCTATGGCGAGGATTCCTCGCGATGAGCGTCCTTCGCGCTTCAGCAAGTGCAACAAAATGCAACAACAACGCGAGGAATGATCGACGTCCCAGACGCGGAGGGAGATGGAAGCCCGGAAACTTCTGTGGTTTATCTTTCTTATATCAAGGGACAAGTGCATTGGATGTAGAATGCAATGGCGGATGGAATCGGGCAAATTTTTACGTGCGTTCGTCTCAATCCTTCCTTTGAGGAGGATGTGAGATTTCTAAGTTTAACGCAGGCTAAACAGCCACCCTTATAGCAGGCAGGAAATAGGGGGGCCGAATCCATGGAGGCAAAGGGGCACGTGCCACGCCCCCCCCCCCCCCGGTAACGATTCTGAGGTGTTTTGGGAAGA